ACTTGACATTGTATTGTACTTTAAATACAATAATACAACAAGACTTGACATTGTATTGTACTTTAAATACAATAATACAACAAGACTTGACATTGTATTGTACTTTAAATACAATAATACAACAAGACTTGACATTGTATTGTACTTTAAATACAATAATACAACAAGACTTTGTATTGTACTTTTGAAAAGTAAATTTCAATTATTATTGTCCTCCTTTACCTCCCACTCTATCATTTTCTTCAGGTAGTTTCGGGGACCACTGTATTATTTTCTTCAGGTAGTTTTGGGGACCACTGTATTATTTTTTTCAGGTAGTTTTGGGGACCACTGTATTTTTTCTTCAGGTAGTTTTGGGGACCACTGTATTATTTTCTTCAGGGAGTTTTGGGGACCACTGTATTATTTTCTCCAGATAGTTTTGGGGACCAATTTTTTATTTTTTCAGGTAGTTTTGGGGACTACTGTATTATTTTCTTCAGGTAGTTTTTGGGACCACTGTATTATTTTCTTCAGGGAGTTTTGGGGACCACTGTATTATTTTCTTCAGGTAGTTTTGGGGACCACTGTATTATTTTCTTCAGGTAGTTTTGGGGACCACTGTATTATTTTCTCCGGATCCTACGTCAGATCGGGACCAACTCTACTCGCAACAGCATCTACTTCTTTACGACTTCAAGTCGGTCAATTAAGCCGGTATGAATGTTTAACAGTCCATGTTAACTCAGGCACACTTAAATTGTCGATCCCAATCCCGTGGACCCGTACATTTCCCATAGCCCATTGTTAGATGTAAACTTCTTCTTCTAGCATAATCTTTATCTTGATATCCACTTTGCACTTCATAGAACCTTATCAAATAAATAAAAAATATTTCGTCTTTAAATTTTCTCTAGGGGTAAACCCTCGAAATATTTTGTCACAAATCCACGAAACTGAAATTATAATTTCGCAAACTCTCACACTCTTCCACCTTCCACGTGACCAACAAGAGATTTAAAATGGGATCAATTCTTATCGACAAGATGACTGATTATTTTTCTCAAGATAAGATGGCCTACTCTAAACTGGCAAGCCTATTACAGGCCTCCAAGCGAGTACAGGTTGGTGACCCTGATGGACTGCAGGAGAAGATTAGGAAGATGGTTGACGG